GCTTGAACCTGTAGCATATGGATTTCATATGCACGCGATCATGCATGGTTTACATAGTTGTCTTCAGAATTTATGTAGTTTCTGCTTTGATGAGCATATCAGAATATGAATTAAGGAAGATAACTTTGCCTTTGAAACTGAAAAAATTTGGAAAATTCAATGTTATCGCGCAATATTAGTCAGGAGTTTCATTTTTTTAAAATAACGAATGTGTCGGTTTGTAGGGACCCTACTATTGCGGTGTGGGAGCAGACAAAGTCTACGCTAGGGATATCGTTGAGGCTCACTACAATGCTTGCTTGTACGCTGGAGTCAATATCTCTGGTATCAATGCTGAGGTCATGCCCTCACAGGTAAGCGAACCTCTCTACAAAGCTCATTTTTTGTACGCACGATTGGTATAGTTGTTCTTTCAAACTTTTTAACAAGGAAAAGACAAGTCTTTACTCTGCTACTGTTATTTGCTATTCAGATTTTTATACCCGTTTAGCCCTACTTTCATACACTTTTTTCAAGATTTGGGTGCGCGATCAGTTTACATTCTGTTTTGTCTTTTAAATCTTGAAGTGCAAGTTCATCATTTCATCACCTTTTTCTTCCTATCCTATGTTCTTTCTCCCTTTTCTTTAGTCGTTTCGCGGAGCGATTTATACCAGGTCACAATTAATTTATTTTTACTTTGCATAATGTTCTTATTCATGATGTTTTCGGTGAATTTTTGGCCGGCTGGCAGGAAAAACGCACCGAATCTCTACCGTTTCATCTAACACTCTTAAGTCTAAACCTTTTCACTGCCTAAAATCTGGAGTAGGTAGTTCCCAAATAAGCTCTAGTTACCCATTTACAAAATATCATACGTAACCCACACTTCGTATGAATCGGTTTCTGTCAGAAAGGCGTAAGGGCAAAAATGCATGAGCCCTGGCGTCCTGCGTGATGAACGTAAACCAGGGCTCATGAGTTATTGGACTTACGGCAGTCTAACAAAAACCGATTCGAACACCGTCTCGGACAATTTGCTTGAAACAATTTTTTTTAATGATTTTTTAGTGGGAATTTCAAGTTGGGCCATGTGAAGGTATCACAATCGGTGATGAGCTATGGATGGCCCGATTCCTGCTGCACAGAGTGGCAGAAGAATTCGGTGTTGTCGTTACTCTCGACCCCAAACCCATGGAAGGAGACTGGAATGGTGCTGGAGCTCACTGCAATTTCTCCACGGAAGCAATGAGGAAACCCAATGGAATTGTGTAAGTAGTACTCTTTCCTTTTTTTTAAAGCATTTCGTCACCTTCCAGGCAAAGTATCACAAGCACCATGCGACGTTTAAAAATTTCCGCCGCCATTATATTTTTTTACAGAGAAATTGTTCAACGAAGCTGTCCGAAAATTACACCGAATTTTCTTTGTGCTGCCGATAAAATTTAGTGAATTTTTCGAACAGATTCAACCAACAATTTCTCAGTAAAAAAATAAAATGGCGGCGGAAATTTTTAAACGTCGCATGGCGCTTGTGATACTTTACCTGGAAGGTGACGATTTCATGGCTGGATTTGTGATAGTCAAGCAGCGCTCGATGATCGATGTATCAAACCCATGGAAAATACAAGGAAAAAATAAACACAGCAGACTGAGCACAAGGTTTATTTCCGTGGATACGAATAGATTATCGCTACGTATGAGTTGAATTTGACTACGTTTCGCATAACTTTCTGATCACTTTTCCTGGCCCAATAACTTAGTTTTGGACTACACGCGATTTTCGATTATCCGGCACCGTAGCTCTGGTCTCAATTTCCGTTCTAACATTGGATTCCATTTCCATTGAATTGGATTTCCATTGCGGGTCATTCTTGACGAGAAAGGCAATTGGATTACATTTTATAAGGAGATACCGATATTTCTGGCTCATTTTTTTTTTTTTTTTG